AACCTACCTATGTTAGAATCGGTTTTAGCACTTAGAATTAATTCTAGGCCTTTGACATACAACGTACAACTGTTACCCATCAAGTCCGACCAAGGAATGGAGACGGCTATTTTCTCAATTGTACCGGATGTTAGGGCAAAAGGTAAATTGAACTGTTGAAGGATATCATTGACAGCCTAATGCAATAATTGATAATTGTCGTTCAATTTAAGTCTTATAATACTCTTAATAGCTACAGCAGTAAAATAGGATTGAAAAACCGTGAAATAAGTTGAGAAATGTAGTTTACTATTATTGCAAGGATATTAGGTCAATCGATTAGGTGTGTTTGTAGAGAGCGCAAATGGGAATGCCTTGTTTCTTTATTCTACACTGCGAGATTGGCTTGTTTTGATAAATTAACTCGAGGCGTAATATGGGAAATGCACTGGTGATTACTGTGGTTTACAGTTATTCAATTCGATACAGCCCAGAGACAGCGATAGATAATTTGTGCTAGAATGCAATGTTTATCTACGATGATCATCTTCCAAAACCATGATATTCTGTATAGTATCATTGTACGTATTTTTGAAGCATACTGCCTACTCTGACCATACTGTACTATGTCACTAAGCCATCGATATTAAAGAGTAAAAACAGTACGGTACTGTTGTCGAATGAGTTGATCAAGAAATCCAACGGAGATTTCTAACATTTACAGCGTCTATCTTGATCTAGTAAATGACTTTGAGCGTCTGCAGTATGATGGTGTGCGTCAATTCAATCAATCAGTAGTACAGTGTTGTTCTAGAAATGTCTGTAATGATACAGTGCTGTAGTCAAAACATGATTGAAGCTAAAGGCAGATAGGAAGCTATACAGTTATGCCATCGTATGCTATCAGTAACAACTATAATTGTAAACTACAACTCATAGTAGAAGACATCCTTCTCGACAATTTTAGGCCATGATACTTACTTCTACATCCAACGGAATGTCTACGATCGTTCCTGTCCCTTGGTATAAATCAATCGATAGCTGTTCTAAAGACAATTTCTTGAGAAAGAAATTGCCTAAGTAATTTTGTATCAAGTAACGTAATGTTCGCTTCTTTAAAGCTTCAGGCCAAAGAGGAAACATATTCATATCATCTATTTTGATTCTTGGTGACTTGAAATGATTGATTATAATGGCAGTATAATAGTGTTGAGTGCCAGAGACGGACTAAAAGGTTTTATTGAATGAAAGATGGAAAGCTTTGGGGAGATACTTTCTCTCTAGACTTGTATATTCTAATTCATGAAAGTAATCAGTATTTGGAAAGTGGACATGTGGAAATTTTGAATTAACGCCGTGTCAATTTCTTCTTCATGTACAACATTACGTCAGGATTGTTTATGGTCTTGCCGTAGCTCTTGAACAGTTTTACTGCATTTAAGTTTATTTTCGTCTTGGCCTTCACCTTGCCGATTGCTGTTAAGTACTACTGCAATATTATTATTATTATTGTTATTAAAAGCTTTACCAAAGTCATATGGCAAAAGTACCGCAAATCCTCATTCAGCTGATACACAAGTGTAACATCGGTAATAGAGTACGGTGAACGATTGGTGGATTGATCTCCATACAACTCATATACTACTCACACTAGTATCGGCATCGCTGCACTTGTTACCTGACAGGAGCCGAGCTACGCTGACGTCACTGAAATCATGAGGCTTATGAATTCATTATTATTATTTATTTATTTATTCTCATTTCTATTATTACTGTATGATTATTCATTTTTACTACCGTACAATGTACTGTACTGTACAAGTGAGGTCAGTAGGGAATGCAGTACTGTACTGTACAGTACAATACTGTCATGGACTACTGTACTAAATACTGTATTTATTATCATTTCTATTATTACAGTATGATTATTCATTTTTACTACCGTACAATGTACTGTACTGTACAAGTGAGGTCAGTAGGGAATGCAGTACTGTACTGTACAGTACAATACTGTCATGGACTACTGTACTAAATACTGTACAGGACACAATACTTAGTATTGAGTAGTCCATGATACTGTACACTGTACACAGTGTCAGTACAGTATAAAGGCAAACCGAACCCGATCAAACCCGATCCAACCCCATCAAATTGTTGATTTTGAAAACCCGAAATGAGTACAATCACTATACAAACACTCTATCAGAAAACGAATTACTTAACCCGAATCCCTCCCTCCAGTCGGGTTTCGGGTTGACTTGGTAAGACACGAGCATGTAGTGAATGGCTTGGACTTTTAATAAAGGACATTTTCCAATTTAGGCCACTGTTGACTGTTAAATCATGGTTAAAATGGACAATTTGTACTTGTACAGTGTAACATATTTGGTTATTATGATTACTGCATGTACTTTGTAATCCGAACACTGCTAAGATTCTGTAATCATCATCGTAGATCTAAATCTGCTGATATTACAGCATATACTGTATAGTACTGGATGTTTACATATCGAAGTTGAGAGAATGATTTACAGTATAGTATAGATCGCACTCATCTCTTACCAGTGACATTGTCGAAAACTTCCCTTACGGTATGTCCGTACGGTTGATTTAATTAACTTGACTTCCTAATATAAAATCGAAGCTTGTGGCTCTTTGCTTTAGTATCAGAAATAGTGTATCCAAATCTGCTTGTATTTCTGCATACACAGTACCTTATGCTTACTTATCGAAGTTAAGAGAATAATATACAGTACAGTCTTGTATACATTACGCTCATCTCTTGCCAGTGAGTGACATTCTCCAAAACTTCCCTTTCTGTATTGTCCATACTGTTGACCTAATCAACTTGACTTCCTAATATAATCTAAGCCTGTGACTCTTTGCTTTAGTATCCAAAATGGCATATTCTGTACCGGTTAGTCAGTTGCCCCGCTCAAAATGCTCACAACTAAGCGCAAATCTCTATACACAGAATTTCTGTGTCGTGGTTTATACCATACGGTACAGTTTTGTTTCTACTTTTGTAGCATGATTGTACACTAGGCTCTGTCAAGAAAATGTCTTCACTCTTGAATTCTTTGCGGAAACTATTCAACGAATGATTAGTTGAACCCACATGCAAAGTTTCAGTCGATTTGATCAACGATCATTAGTTGAATAGTTTCAGCAAAAAATTTAAGAGTCAAGACATATTCTTGGCCGAAACCGCCTATTGTACACTATACTATACAGCTGGCTGACCAATGCACACTCGCAAGTATATTGATGTTTACTACTTTAGTACTTTCCGTTCGAACTAAAACTGAAATTCTTACGGCGTACACGTAGCAATTAGGCATATTGCCAATACAGTATTATGTAGTGCTATAGGAACTTACGATTGTAGCCTGACTGTCAAGAGGAGCGTAGTCGAAGCATATAGTGCCATGATCTCAGTTTGTACAAACATATTGAAAGATTAATTCGGAAATTTAAGGCCATATGATCGCATAATTAAAACCGGTAATTGAAACAAGAAATATTAATTTAGCTAAAAATAGTTCAGTAATAATTGTTACTCCTAAACTATTTTGAATTACTGATTCACAGAAATGCTGAGGCCCAACGCCTTAGGATAAGAATAACTTTATTACATACAGTACATAAAAAATTCACAGGATATTAGCAATGAAAAGGCTGCAACTAATAGTAGAAAGTTAGTCTAGTAATCTTGACTTAGCAAATCAGAGAGGCTACTTTAGCTCTTTATCTAAGACCCTTTTATACGATCTGGGCTCATCTTATTTGTCAACATATTTTGAACAAAACTCGAACACAAATATTCCAATACGTAGGTCATGCTCGGCCTGCGGGGTGACCAATCTGAGCCCAATCGTTGCAGCTAAACAACAGTCTCGCGACCGATCCAACATAGCGCTAACATAAAATCTATAAATGACTAATTCTAATACAGATCACATTATTACAAGTTCAATTACCCACGCATTTATATTATATTGCTACACCATTCGCGATACATTTGAAATATAATTGTTGCAATAGAATATTACATTCAAAAACGTCTAAATACCACTAAAATATTATAAATATTTTATTTCAATTCGAATCCAAGAATTCACCGTGTTACCATGTTCATACAGTACACTTGTCCCGTAATATACTGGTATATATAGTATACTGTCTATCAACAATATACATATTTATAATCTCATGTATCCCTAACACAGAAAGTGATACAGACTAATGCATCATAGCAAAAAAGGTATCCATTAGAAGCTTTCAAGATGCATTAAAAGAATAATACGACTGACTTCATCCCCCTAAAATCTATTTAGATTACGTCTTTTGCATCAAACAAGCATACAGTACTATACACAATACCGCACAGATGTATCTTTATATAAATACGTTGTATGCTATATTATAAACTTTATAGCCTGTATACATGATGGTAATTTCAATGATATCTTGTAATTATCATTGCCATATTGAGTTATCTGTGGTGCATTCGTACCATTATAGTCTCATAAAAGTTGAAATGTGTGTAACTGAAAGCATCGAAGCAGATATTCAATCTAGCAGTCTAAAATCCTAACTGGTTATTACTGGTGTCTCCCGTCTCTTCCAATTCGAGAATAGGATTATAGCAATATTCTAAAATAAAAAAATGTAAATGATTCATTTTAAATATGCCTATATGAGCTCTTGCTATGTATGCTTCTTGCAAATAACAGTACTGTACTTCAAAATATTATCTATTTAGAATATCGCTCAAGTTAGCATCAGCTAGAAAGCTTACCAAATGAATCATGTAATTGCTGACTTTGTACATCATTAGTATGATTTATTAAATGCCATGTAGGATCATTATTTCCACAGCTCTCTAAATTTGGAGATGGTGTGCGGGGCGATATTGTCGAAATAACTTGCTCATTTAAGGCAGTATTGCTATGAGAACCTAAGTCATCACGAATCATATCATATCCTAATGTTCCATCTGAAATTATGTCAGAGGCGCCATGACGGCGTCTGTGACAGTTACGGCTGCTGCTCTGAGAAAACCTTTTACCGCATATGTCGCAACTATACGGCTTCTCTCCTGTATGTGTTAATTTATGCTTTTTCAAACTAGAAAGCTCTGTAAATCGTTTATTGCAATCATCATGGTCACAAGAGTATGGGCGTTCACCTATTTCATAACAAGCAAAAAATTAGTCATTGAAATAATTAGTAGTCAATGATACAGCAACTGTAGTGAAAATATTTCGTAAATTATAAAAATTTTACCAGTGTGAGTTCTTATATGATTCTTCAAATTGCCGGCGGTAGTAAAGGACTTAGAGCATCCATTTACTGTGCAAAGGAAAGGTTTTTCGCCAGTATGAGAACGAAGATGAACCGCAAGCCTCTGAGAAACGTAAAACTTCTTTTCACAGCCATTGCTAGGACATTGAAATTGTCTGTCATCGATATGACTTAATTGATGATATTTCAGATGAGCAGGCCAAACATAGCTCTGAACGCATCCTTGGATCTGACATTGGAAAGGTCGCTCTCCTACGTAAATAGTTTATTGACAAATTTAGTACTTTTATCGAATCTTATATGGGGATATCAATAGCCGCAGCATTAACAATAAATACCGTAACACAAAATAATATGTAATACAGTAATTAATTAGCGATATGAAGATCATAGCAGCAATATATTTATGCTTATCTATCATAATGTTACAGTAAACGTTATGTGCTAAATGCTTCTCGCAAGAAGGTTCCCGGAATTTTACAAATTTGCAATTTCAAATATGCATCCTATGCAAGTATTATTCTAGATATCCATGTAAATATGGTATAGACCATTAAAGATATGTTTGTGAGACAGTTTAAAAATTATAATGGTTTTAGTGATATGGCAAGAGTTCGCTATTAATTTTGCCAAGGAAACTATACTAAGTGTAGTCTTAATTGAGCTGCTGTATAGCAATAATAAACTAGAGTAATATCTCTAGATAACTTTCATACACCATTGTGGCAAGAAAATATCAGTAACTTATAATCTCATCATATATTCAAATAAATTACATAGCTGTATTTATATGCTAATGCTATGGAATAATTCACGTAGGCTTACGTAATTTTACTTGCTTGATAAAGTTTTAATTTTGTTTGTTTAATATAATTAAACTGTTTTTATTGCTAGTATTACAACTAATCGGCAAGTTTTATATCCTAATAGAGTACCTGTATGTATGGATTTATGATGTAATAGGTGTCCCGAGGATGAAAATTTTTTGCCGCAATTTTCACTCTCACAATTATATGGCTTTTCACCTGTGTGAGTCCGAATATGATACTTCAGATGCGATAAAGAAGCGAATGTTCTGCCACAAGCATAATAGCTACATGTATAACGTCCAGTAATTTTATTTCTGAAAAATAATATTTTAATCGGTAATATCAAAAGGCAGATTTAAAAATTTTTTATCTTACTATTATAACTATAAAATTCCCTTATTTATCTTAAAGTAAACCAAAAATAAGTACCCTAATTAATGTTGTTGAACTTGGATCACTTATAATAAATGTAATATAATGCAGTATTATAATCGAATCATCGTAAACGGATTGTTTAACTAGCTAATTGACTAATATCTTTCTTTAATCATTACTGTATAATGATTAGTTTATCTTTGGTGTACAATAGCCTGGAACATAAACGAAAAATTATACTCAGATGTAGTTACTTGATATGAAGTATCGTATGCAAGCATAAAGTGCGAGTTGAACAGCTCTATGTGTTCTCTAACATGATTATTAGTAGGTCTTCATCTTAGTAGAGTGCACCTATGGATACTATAGCATTATTGCTAATACTTGTAATAAATGTAGTCGTCTATTGCTGAGGTGTATCATAAATAGTATGCTTATAGTATCTAGGTAAGGTTGGAATGCTAAAAAATGGCGACGCCGCGTATAAGATCAGTCAGAATAAAATGCAATCTTAACAAAACGCTAAAACACTGCCCCCAAAATTAAGTCTTATAATTATTAGCTAGCTATCTCATAGATTACGTTTTAATATTATATCAAAAAAATTCTAGTAAACTGATTAAGCTTCGTTAATGAAAATCTCTTATCACATTGATCACTAATTTCCGTCAATCATAAAAATTTGAAATCTAGGAAAATTTTTTTAATAGTGCTAAGTAAATCGCATAATACTAAGTGCGTTTAAAATGAAGTAAGTTAATCTATGTGAAGAATAACCACCTTACCTCTTTTTAGATTTAACGATCATTGATTCAATACAACTTTCAACCAAAAATGAACCTTCAGGCTGCATAGATTGATCCAACATGTTACTTTCGTTGGGATTATGGTCGATGTTTGTATAGTCTAGGCAAACTTGTCTACTATGGTCGTCCATTTATCCTTTATTTAATATTCGATCATATCTATTAATTATCGATCAGAGACAGTAGGATTATAATGCCATTTTAAAAGATTTAAATCCACTGATAATAATAGTTCGCTTTAGATTCTCCGACGTCTTTAAAATTATGTTACGTTGCAATCTTATTCGCATATAACTTGCGAGTTTAGGCGGAGCTATTTATGCAATTATTGCGTGCAGTGTATAACATCCACGATATAGCCCTTAATGGATGTGACGTCATGACGCACTTAATATAAATATTAATGCAATTGGTTACTGTAATTACTTAGTTTTATTTGTGCTGTTTACAAGTTATATATCCAGAGTGCCACACTTGTAGATTATCAAGTATCAAATAATCGGAAACTACTCAATTAAAACAAGATTCTGTACCAATAATATTTTTTGTTAAGTAATCCCTGATAAAATGCAATCAAATACAAAGATATGCATATTTGAACCTTGGGTGGCCAGTACTGTAATTTAAATGAGATATCAGTATACAATAGAATATGAATCCGGGTACGCTAATTAATTAATCTTAATTGCCGTTTAATTAAATTAACAATAGGATTATTTTAATTTACTTGCATAATCAATAATACGATTTAATTAACGATATCTCTTGGATGGCTCTTAGTGAAGAAAGGCCATCAGCAATACGGGAGCATACACGTACTGATTGAACAGACTTTAAGTCATATTGTATGAAATCATAATGGCGCAATATAACGCCAAATACTGCATAAAATTAAAAAAAAGCCATAGATTATTATTTCACTATCCCAAAGGTAGTTTTCACTCTAGTTACTTTAGTATTTTTATATAGAGTTCATAATACTTAGTATGAGTAGTTCTCATAAAATAGTTTAGTTTTCTTCATTATATAAGACATCGAAGAGCTATTAAAATTTGACGTGAATTTAGTTACGATGAAACCAGTTTAGAAGTGGTTAATAATTGAGTCACGTCTGTGAAACTTATCCTAATAGATGACTAGTAAATTTTTCATTTCGTATGATCCTATATTCCAATAATAGAATTTAATTTGTAATTAATAGAATAAAAGTTCTTTTTTATGAATGATCTTATTACTATTTCTATCAAACAAGATACTACTTTCTCTACTTTTCGGTACAGCTCTTCCTTAATTGTGCTAAGTCGGCACATCTTCGAAATATGACTTGAAACGTATTGGGAATGATACCAGGGACTTGATGTTTCGATAGCAGATTTTGTAGTTATTATAGTTTGGTCTGTTATAACACTTAGGATACTACAGTAGATTTCATTCCTTCATCTCGTATTGGTAGGCCTTTAAATTTTGATTTGATGTAATACTCTGATAAAAATTGAATAAACATAGAATCTTTATAGAGTTTTCTACACAGCCATTTTGATTGTTACATTTTCTTATAAAGGTTGTTATCGACAGAGCAAGCTTTGCTTGCATACGCAAGTGATCCTTAATAGACACATTATAATGGTTGGTATAGAATTGACCACAGTACTAAGGATATTGTACCGCACTGTAGATATCTTACGGTACCTGCTAATCTTTACTTGGTATGTCTATCACCGTACATTATTCCATGTTTGAACTTGCTAAGTACTAGCCTCTAATATCAATAATGCGGTATGGTAAACTATTTCTGATACTTTACTTTATCAACGGCCTACGGTGTTACGTACCGAACTAGCGATGCATATTTCATTCATAATTTAAATCTCAGTAACTATAAGCTGTGTAGATATGTACCATCACTTATCGTATCGTAATGTGCATCTCAAGACTCTACTTGGAAGTCAAAATATTTCCAACCAGCGTAAGTTTATGATTGTAGAATGTGTCGTTCCTCTTACAACAGCTTGTCAAATGCCTTGATTTCTACGTGTTTTCGTAGGGCCGACAACAGGTTAAAGTTTTATGGGATAAAGCATACAACAAATAATATAATATTCATAGAGATACTACAGTATTTGATATCCCAAATACTCTAGCAATAGTGACTATACGGTATAACCGGATGTAAGATGACAAGAATAACCAGATTCTGTAAGACTCAAATGTGTATTTATAGAATGCACTTTATTGACGTGTTGTTTTAGTCTACTGATTTTTATAGTACAGTTTTTAATTGAATTTGATGTAGACGTCTTGCAATTTAAATTTTAAATTTGCGTTTTTATCGATTTATAGCGAAGACTAAAATAATAACTCTGTTTAATTCATGATGCATTTGCAGTACAATATCCATACGCTAACGTACCCGTCTAGTTACTGGCTAAAACAAATGAATGATGGTTCTTTAAAGGCGAATGCCATATATACAATAATATACAATAATCTATAAGAGATCTTATCGAAAATGTGCGTCATTATAACTCTTTTGGAAGTCATTTATTTTATTGATATCAAACTAGTATAGAAATTTCATTAAATTTTTGATATATTTTCTTGTAATCAATTTATATTGTACTGTACAGTATATTACTTTAAAAGAAATGAATTAATTATGATACTGTATATTGTAAGCTAAAGGTACAGTTCTTATACACTCTTTGGCTTTTAGTGAACTTTCTTCTTTGATCAAGTTGCACTTAATCCTTACTTGTTCATTATGCACTAGGTTTAATTAAATTGTGAAGTATAAAATCATATGAAGACATGTAGACTTAGAGCAGATCTTATGTCTCAACGAAACCGAGGATCTCACTGATTTCGTATACGTACATTGTTGCTTACTTTTATTCAAGCTTTACCTCTGGTTGTGGGTAATAAATAATGTAAAGTTGAATATACTATTTGTAACAGGATTTATGTACTCAGTTTTATGAATTTTAATAACAAAAAATAAGAACGATTTTACTATATACGCATACGACGTGCCAATCACAACTGCATTATTTAATGTTGATTCACATATCATGATAGGTGTGTAAAACTATTATAGTTTGTTAATAACGCGGTTTGGACTTACAAAAGTGACATGTATTGACAGTTAATTTGAATAGCCGTGATTTCGGTTACGGCATAAATCTCTTTTTATTTTTTATAATGTTAAATTGCCTCCTTTCAGGATTATTTTAGTATAGCAATATAAATATAGCAATAAGCTGTCAAGCTCTCTACTAACAATAAGCCTATTACAGTTTAAAATTTTGAATAGAGTTTTTACCATCATCCCAAAGCTATTGGAGATACATAAGGTATTATTTATAACATATTACATTACTATCTATATCTAATATTGAAAATAAAAGTATTTTTTTATATTAGCCCTATCCGCAGATATCGTTTTCCGAAAATAAAGGAAATAATTGATTACATTAGAAATGTGCTCAATTGGTTAATTAACATATTAATTTATCTGAATTAGTAATCAATGTTCTGTTCATCATAGTTATGCCATACCCCATCATTAAAAAATAAATGCCGATTTTTTTTGTGATAGCCAGGATTAGAATATGCGGAGGTATAAATATTTATATTAAGTAGAGCATTTCCTAATACTGTTATTATGATGAAAAGCTTGCTTTTGTGATCATGGTACACCTGCTCTATTGATATAACAGTACAATATGACAATATCGGTCCCTTTTTTATCAGCATTTGTCATTGATTTGATTGTAAAAGTATTTTTGGAATTGATATAGAATTAATTATCTCTAACCCTTCGGCGATTAGCCTTTTATACATTTTAGGTTTTATTTTACCTAAATGATATCTTTGATATTTGTTATAAAAGCATATCAGTTGTAATGATAGTGAAGACGCGGTATTGAATACCGGTATAACGATAAAAGCGTGCCCAAGAAAGTAGCGATCCACATCTACTAGCATGTATTACGGAACATTTCTCTGACTGCTTTCAAAAATTACTATTAGATTGATAGTTGATATTGGATTTAACCTTGTACCTGATTGAATCTTATTGAAGTAATGGCTGTAAAATTTTCTCCTTGGATTGTATCTCTCTGCCTGTTACTTCATTGCCTTACGATTGAAAGTAAACAGGATACCTTGATTGGGAAAATGGTAGATTCTATCGATAATTTATTTCGCTATTACAATAAAGACATGGACAAATTGATTATAGATGGGATTTATGGCATGTATTTAGCAGACGGTAAGCTAAATAAAAAAACTCATACGGTAAAATCATGATACTGTTCGTTGTGCACCTGGGATTTACCGTAGCCAACCATATGAGCGATTTCACTCGCATTTTTGTATAAGGGAATCTCTTAAAGTAATATAAACTAAACTAAGATACAGTATGTAAATAATTTGATGGATCAGTTAATTGTAGTTTGATTATATAGCCCAGCAGTAGCAACGACATATTAAAATCATATTTTACATTCAATATATGAAAGCGTACTTAGTGTAAAATCTTATTTTGTTAACTTGTAGCAAATAGTAAAATAATATCGTTACTGCAACGTTGTTGACTTTTATCTTGTAGTGATGCCTTATTATGGGCCTATTATCTTTGTGTAAGTAGAAAAACTTTATTTACTCATTTTGAAATACATTCTCCAGAGATCCTTAGTTACAATAATTTGATGTTAATTTGTATAAAATTAGAGAACATTTAAGTAAAAATTCAAGTCATTAATCAGATTAGAGTTCCAATCTCTGATTTTAAGTATGTAATACTGTAGTATTTATCGTATATCTGATAAACGAGAGTTTTAATATTGCACACATCTTGAAATTTAAAAACAGGTTAATGTTTTTGATAGATTTCAAAAAATGCACCAATTGTAAAATAATGTCAATTCGACTACAATCAGAGGGTAATACTTTCTATGTTCTAATTTTCCCTATAACGTCAAATCTGGCTTACCGGAATCAGCTTACTTTCAATCCATTATGTATGATATGGATAAAGGCGTATCAGTGTTAGATAGAAATCAAACCAAGAAAGTAGCCCAATTTCGTCAACAAGCTATTGACATTATGAAGCCTACTTTAAAGCGTTTACTCTATCAATCAGAAACTTTCAGACGCTTAAAGAAGATGTTCCAATTACCGATAGTCATCCCTAGAGAATTAAGAACATTGCAACCAACCCCGTTTTCCAGCCATGATGGTCCACCATATGGTAGGATGTATTCCAGTAGATGTATGTGGAGAATCCTGGGAAGCTATCCCAAAAATATTTCGCAATGTAACATGGAAGGTAAATAAAGATTTCAACTTATAAAAGTTCGATTAATTTTTTCAAACAAATAGCCGAATCAATAATAATTAAGCATTCTGTTACATTCTTGATTCAATACTTATGCATTGTTTTAGTTATGGAATACTACCAACGGAATATAATATTAGAAAGTGATATGACTGAGTATTAATAAACTATAAATCACATTTGTGGCAGATTTCTATAACCATAATATGATGGAAATAATTGCATTATTATAGTACGCTTAGTATAAATGCGTGCAACGGTGCAAAATTTGGAAATTGTCCAGAAAGTTAGTAATTAATATGTTTTGGTTTCCGTTATAGGTGATTGTATGGGCTTTATGACGCAACTAAATAGCAGTGGATATATCTTGACACATCAAGTGATAGCTTTATATCTTGCTCAATTGGCCAAATGCGACGAGCAGCTTAGATTGTTAGCGAAGCCCTACGGTGAAATAGAATCCTTAAAAAATGCTTTATGCTCAAAAATTTACACCGAATTGATTGGTGAACTGAAGAAAGGACTAAAGAGTATTACGTCACAAGATTTATTTCTCGAGCAAATTATTGTATGTGGAGGTTATTTTGGATATAAAGAATTTATTGATGATAGTTTTATCCGTATGATACTCCACTGGCAACGACGAAATGGCTGTTTTGCCTACTATCAGGGTCCATATATTCATCCTATGAATAATAGGTAATTACATGCATCTATTCAAAGAAGTAATGAGCGAGTTATTATTGTTCCTAAGTAATTCACAGTAACAAATGATTAGCATTTTCGAAGCATGACGTTTCTAGAGTCTATACAATAATCTATAGGCGCTTTCGCTTTTTTCAATTATCTATATACTGAAAAAAATCTCTAATTTTGCTGTTATTGTGCGAGAAATATGTTTATACTTACATAGATATTATACTTATATATGATTTAAAGCCATAACAACAATCAAAACGGAAGCGGTTCGGCTAAGTACAGAAAACTCAATACCAGAACAGAAATCATTTTACCAGGTATAACTAAAATTTGAGTTTTGTAGCTGCTCCAAGATGTCTAATTTAAATTGACATGTATGCTAGCGTTGCACACTTGCATAAAAGGTAATGCACGTATTCACGACTACAGGGAGTAAAATAATTAGATTTCCTAACGAAATACAAATAGACAAATCACAAAAGGTATATTTGAAAACTATTAAAGACAATCTTCATATTTATCTTTTATGTAAATTCTAGACGGTTGCTTTCAGCATACATCATCCCTTGCTATCGGAACAATTGCAATTCATCTCAAATGGCTAGGCTTAATAAGACATCCAACAGCATTTCTTCAAGCAACGGCAATTAACGTTAACGATTCAGAGCTTGTGGCAACTAACATGAATCAAACGTATTCAACACAGTCTACTACATCTTTAGCAAAGATTGTTATCCCGTTAGGTCTCACTACTATTTTTACTGTTATTGGAGTACTGTTGATAATAATAAAGTCCAGACTCGGTCGGAAATACAGCTATTCGAGAATCCCAGATGAAGACTGATGAAACGCAATTACTTATGTTTTACAGAAACAATTATATTAACTGTGAATTAAAGATAATTACACTATTGGTAGAGGATAACAGACTTATCCTTTCTGAAAAGCAATATGAGCAACGATCGTAAGTAATTTCTGTAAAATACTCTGCAAAGTTAGTTTATCTACGGATTCAGTGGTTTATCAAATTGATAAGATCGTAAATGGAATTTACTATATCAGGTAAGCTTAAAGTCCCGTACAGTATTTACTATCGTACATTGTATTTGTTAATAATTATAATCTACAGTACAGTATTACATTGCTATAAATATCATTAAAATATACTATGTTGTATCTCCCCATTTATGCAGTACTGCAATAAAGCTTCGTATTTTAAACACATTACATAGGCGTAAAGTGCCTTTGCAATGCCTGACTCAGTGGATAAACTTGTAATACAGCAAGTCGAATCAGTAAAACATCGTATGCAGTTTTGTTTTGCGAAAAACTGATACAAGATTAGCTACATAGAACACTAGAAATTGAAGACCAATCGTTACTGGTTAGTGGCTACTCGATTTGGATACTGTTGTGCTTTTCTAAATGCATATTACGTATAAAAATGTAACGTACGTTAAGTACTGTACTGACAGTGATGAAGTTATCACTTTGAAGTAGTGAAAATAGTGTACTGTACAATGTGGCCAAACCATATCCGTAAATACCGTAGGTTAAGGTAGCAATGATTTGCGAGTGCCCAATACAGTATAACCTTGGGCTATTACATTTACATCTAGTAGTCCATGGTATAACTGTAGCACGGTGTTACAGTAAAGAATACCAAATGTGTAAAACAGATCTCGTATATCGTATCTCGTAAATCTTCATGGTACACTGAAACTCTTCTCATTAATTAATTAATCTACGATATTGCATGAAGCACATCGCCTATCAATCGAAATTCATACTGCGCATGCGAGAATCGATAGTTGAGGAAATTTACTGTTTTACTGAATAAAAGCGTATAGCGGTAACCTTCCCTAATTCAAATTGATACTGCGCATGCGAGAGTCGATTGTTAAGGAAATTTCAAAGACCGATTATCCGGTTTATCTTAGCCGTTTTCGACTGTTTATATGAGGAGTAAAATTCGAAATCGGAAAAAATACTCCAATAGCGTTTTGATCATATACCAGTCTAATCCACTGGGTCAATTGATCGAACAAATCTCTATCATCGACAGTCAGTTGATATAAGCCATTAGTAAGGTAGTAAATCGAACAATCTTGTCTCATTACTGCTAGACTAAGGCTATGTGACTGTAATCTATACAATTGCTGTAAGATCATTGCGATCGAACACAGTTGTATGCATCAATCGCGATGCAAATCGCTTACGATGTGGTTGTATGTGATAGGCAATGCCAATCTATACAAACCTAGCAAATTGAAACCTTGTGTTTCATCAAATACTGTGTATGCACTATGAATCTTCAACATTGATTTTATCGATCGATTGAAAAATTTCATGGGCTACCAGTAAGGAGAAGTGTCAAAGATGTGGCAAATAAAATAGGTATTTCTTACTTCATTCCCGTGACGGAAATGTCAAGTAAGATTAGATACCTTGATACAAATTGCTGTAGCACTATGAGCTATCATTGTATTTTGATAGTTCAACAGAGTAATTTATAGTTCAATTGTGCAAGATTGTACTTATTTTAAGTACTTTG